TTGAAAAAATTTCCAAAAAAATTGTATTTTTAAAATTTTTTTGTCAAATTTGTCAATTGCTGCAATCTTTGTATAAATTATTAAAATTTTCAATTATGTGCCATTAATCGTAGTATTTATAATAATCTTTCGAATGGTATATTTGTTAATTTTCTGACATTTGTATTTACAAAAAAATCGTGATTTAAAGATTGGTATGTTTTTGGGCCGTGCGCGTGCAGCCGTACCGATAATTTCCGACGGTAGTGTATATGATCAAATTAATTATAATTATTCAAACAAATAATGCTTTTGAATCAAATCAGTAGATATTTTCTATGCATTTTGATTAATCTTTTAAACTAATTTTAATTAAACAAAATTATCTAAAATAATTTATGTATTTCATTTAAGTATAAGGTTTTCCTAATGAAGAGTTTAACTCTAAGGTTTACAAGACATAATTTTTATTTATTAAATACACTCGTGTATAATTTAAACAGGATGAAATTTTATTTTAATGAACTTATTAGGGGAGACTGGGGCGAAAAGTTAAATTTTGCATAAATGATTTTTTTTTGGCAATATAAGCCGCTTAGATGCAAATATTTGTATATCAATATTGTAGGGCAACTTGTCCTCTACAACTTTCAATAAAAAAGTTCCTGATATTTTCGCAAAAAATACATGTTTTCTCCTTTTTTGAAAATTTTGTTTTTTTTTAACTTTTCGCCCCATGCTGGGGCGAAAAGTTAAATTCTATTTTTAGCCTACTAAAACTATTTTCTGATAGGTGATAAATAGTAGATAAGTTAAAGTATACGTAAACAAGTAATTTAGTAAATAAAAGATCTTTGTTTATTTGACAAAAACTTTAGAATAGTTGTAAAGTTAAAAAATTGAAATTTCAAAAAAAAAAATTTTTTTGGTTTATTTCACGTGAACCGGCTTATTTTTTGACAGAGTACTTGCCAAAAGTAAAATAAATAATGTTTAAACAAATAAACCCAAAAAAACGAAAAATAAAAAAAAATTTTTTAACAACATGTAAAAATACATTTAACTTTTCGCCCCACCCATTATTTAACTTTTCGCCCCAGGGTGCGTTTTTGGCTTTAACAACAAATATAAAAAATCTGACTAAAGATATTTAGAAAATACATGTAGGTATCTCTTCAGGGGACCCAAATAATGAAGTAAAAAAATCGCGGTGAGAAAAAATGCAAAAAATATACTTAAAAGTTGATATTTTCTTTTTCGAACAAATTTTCAAAAGTAGGTTGAAAAAAAAATTTTAATATTGACACCACAAAAATAAACAGAATTGCACACAACTCCGGACATTTATTTAGGGTGATAACACCCTTCTATAATTAAAATTGCAATGCTCTAACTATTTTCGTTCGAAAGATAATGAATTTTAACGGTTTTGGCAGTTTAACTTTTCGCCCCAGTCTCCCCTACTTTATTAAATTATAGTGGAAAGTATGTATTTTGTAGAAATAGTCTTCTAGTAGAATAATAACCAACATCTGTTGGTTGCGATTTAAAAGAGAAATAACGTTTTTCAATAACGTTTTCACTGGATTGACAAATTAAAATATTTGTAAATAATTACACCAAGAAAATAGCAATCTTAATTTTAGAAAAACAATAGTCTTCTAATATCTTTAAAAGGGTAGTCTGGTGTTCAAGCCTGAATTTTTAAAAAGTGACTTCAGATTCGTAATCAGCGACCCCAAAAATCCCCGAGTAACAAGTTTTGAGAGAATCTGATTAAATTTGAAAAAAAAATTCCACCATATTTGATCCGCCATTTTGAATTTCTAAAAAATGACTACAGATTCGTAATCAGAGATCCCAAAAACCCCCAAGTAACAAGTTTTGAGCGAATCTAATCAAATTTTAAAAATGTTGTCCGCCATATTGGATCCGCCATTTTGAATTTCTTAAAAAGTAACTTCAGATTCGTGATCAGCGACCCCAAAAAGCCCCGAGTAACAAGTTTTGAGCGAATCTGACCAAATTTTAAAAATGTTGTCCGCCATATTAAATCCGCCATTTTTAATTTTTAAAAAGTAACTTCAGATTCGTTATCAGCGACCCCAAAAACCCCGGGTAACAAGTTTTGAGCGAATCTGATCAAATTTTAAAAATTTTGTCCGCCATTTTGGATCTGCCATTTTGAATTTCTTAAAAAGTAACTTCAGATTCGTAGTCAGCGACCCCAAAAACCCCCGTGTAACAAGTTTTAAACGAATCTGATCAAATTAAAAATTTAGTCCGCCATATTGGATCCGCTATTTTGAATTTCTTAAAAAGTAACTTCAGATTCGTGATCAGCGACCCCAAAAAGCCCCGAGTAACAAGTTTTGAGCGAATCTGATCAAATTTTAAAAATTTTGGCCGCCATATTGGATCCGACATTTTGAATTTTTAAAAAGTAACTTTAGATTCGTAATCAGCGACCCCAGAATCCTCCGAGTAACAAGTTTTAAACGAATCTTATCAAATTTAAAATTTAGTCCGCCATATTGGATCCGCCATTTCGAATTTCTAAAAAACGACTTCTGATTCGTAATCAGCGACCCCAAAAACTCCCGAGTAACAAGTTTTGAGCAATTCTGGTCAAATTTGAAAATTCTGAAACAGTTTATTTATTTTTTTTTGTTAGCATTTATTTATTTATAGTGCTATATTATTTAATAAAAATTTTTAATTAAAAAAAGCCATACGGCAAAAGTAACTACATATTCCAAGCTGTAATTTTTCAAAAAGAATGGTCTTTTATTTTTAAACCCTTTCTGGGCAGAGGGGGGTCCGTTTTACAGAGAATGCCCCATATTTATAGTTGTATGGTTAGGTATAGGTTCGATCCTATATAATTGTAAGATTTTCCGATGCGTTCAGTTGTTAATTATAATTATGAAAATGTGAGAAGAATAAAACTTGTAAATTAATGCATACATTAAGATTACACTTGATTTTTTTAATGGATTAATTATGGTTTATATAAAATTGGTGAAGTGAATAAATGAAAACACTCGCGTCCGCCAGACTCTTATTTTTGACAGGTTACGTCCTCGTTAAACGTTATTACTACCGATATTGAGAAAGGTTAAGGGGGAGTGACACCTTTGAGGCCTCTTTTGAACCTGTTTGTCATGAATTTTTTTAAGACACGGGAATAAAGTAAACAAAATTTGGTTTTGAGGGATTTATTTGTTAACTTTTTAAGTTTACAAAAATATATTTATACGTAAAAAAAGTTTAAATTTGTTGCCTATAGAGGGCGCCGAAGTTGGTCTCCATTCTCTGCAGAGCAAATCGGTGGGCAAGATTCCGGTTAGACCGTTTAATCTAAATCAAAAATTCAAAGTTTTTCTAAATCTAAGATAGATTTAGCTTTCGAGTACGTAGGATATTTTAAAAATATTACTTTTTGTGTATTTGGTAGTTGTTTGAAGTAAAAAGTCGATTTTTAGGGCAAAAATTTGTCAAAAAATCTGTTGCCAAAAAAAATAAAGAAACCAAAAAAAAGAAACCGCTACGTACTCGAAAGCATTAGTAAATGACGATTAAAAAAAACTTTGTCCGAAGTCAATCCGATCAAAACTGTTCTAGCTAGACTGCCCACCGTTTTGAAAAACGTCATTTCGATAAAAACGCGTTTAAAGTTTTGAAAGCAATTGAAGCGCTCTTGGACACCTTTTGCAGATTTTGATTTTTTTTCACATAAAATATCTTCGAAATCATCTCTAATGATATAATTTCTATTCTACACATTATAAAGTATCGTTTAAGCAAAGAAAAAAAAACTCGATTTTTTTTCGGGTCAAAGGTGTCACTCACCCTTAAAAGTTTATCACTGAGTTCTCTACTGTACTAAACTAAAGCCATCTACCACTATACGCATCGCTAGCGCGCATAACATTAGTTTCTCTTTGTCTGTAGACTCTTTAAAATTTGGACAACAAGTAGTTCCAGATGATGCTTGATATAAATAAAACAATCAGCATTGATTGTAATTTTTACCAAATAATAAAAATATGCATTTTTATTTTCCGAATTTTTTGAATAAATTTCATACTTTCCATTCAGATAAATATTTTTTAATAGGGTATGGCTTATATTTTGAGTCAGGTTAATTTCTAAGAAAATTACAAGTTTATATTTAATCGGTTAAGACATTTTTGTCTGATGCTCTGCAAAAATATGTCGATCATATATATACATAATTTTTTATTTATATTATTTTTATCATATTCCCCAAATAGCATATCATGTAAGGTTAATATTCCCAGTAAGAAATTTTCTCTCTGTCCAATATTGGGAGCCATGGTGCCTTCCATTGGTCCAATGAAGGCGGTCAATATGAGGCCAATATTGACTGATGGAATTTTTTGCACAATGCTATTTTCTCATAGCTGCTGCATTTTTAAGCAATTATAAATAATTTATGAAAAGATGTTATTAACTTTTTAATTCTTCTGATCAGATATTTTATTCAATTTAGCTTAGCTTTCCATTGAAAGCTAAGCTATATTTTATTGAATAAAATATCTGATCAGAAGAATTAAAACGTTTTTAACATCTTTTCACTAATTACGAATTGACTGATCAACACTTTTAACATCTTTTATTAAATAAATCATTTATTATTTATAAAAATTATTATAAATAAATAATTAAATCAATGCTGAGTCAATGTTGCCTCAACATTGTCCGTAAATATTGCCATGCAATATTGACACAACATTCATCTCAAATGTTCTATTTGGTTGTATTTAAAACGAATGATTAATTAATAAAAAGATTAATATTAATTTATTTTTGATTTTTAATTTTTTTATACACCAAAAGATGAAATTTGCTATTGAAAAAATGTCGAAATCGTTTCAAGACACACTGCTTTTTAGTGCAATAGTATAAATATTTAATACTGGATTTTTTTGTTATTGCTATTTTGTAATTTTGATTAACAAAGTAATCATTGTGTTAAGTAGTATGTTATTGCGTAGGTTTGGAGCGGGTAGCAGAGGAGTTGATGGGCCGTAGGAGATGGAAGCAATACCAGGACACCCTGTACACCGCGACTCGCAGCGAATCGTCAACGACGACGCAGCAGCAACAAGCCCTTCATCAAAGGCTTCATCCAACTGTAACAACAGGTTGCAATATCGATGCAGCGACATTAAATCAGGTGTCCCACCTGCGACCGCAGGTGTTGACAACTCCAATCAAACAGGAGCTACAGGTTCCAAAAAACCTCTCGAATCATCATTCCATACAGGAGGATCAAACGAACCATCCAGAACAAGGGAACCAGAGGGAATTGCATCGTGTCAAGCGCGAATTGGATCCTACGGAAACGGGTGTCAACACCAACTCGGTCAAAAAACGAGTTTGTGGAGACGACGAAAACGGCAACAAAGAGGTCACAGAGGACGAGACGGAAAGGAGGCCCAATCAAGAAAAAGAAAAATCCTCCAATCATTTAAACGACGACGATCGAACCTCCAGACAAGAGGATCTGACCAAACCAAACGACACGGAAGGGACCAAGGTCAGGAATTCTTTGCAATTATTTGTTAATTAGTTTATTCAGCGATTTATAGTATTTACATGTACTTTCGTTTGGAAATCTTGCCCCCCAATGGGAAATGAACGATTGGATCAATGTTGGGCCATGGAATGATCATTGATCACGCTACTGACAATATAGCCACCTAATCTTGGGGTCAATATTGACTGCCAAGAAAACAAAATGGATTTTCAAAAACTTAATTTTTTATTAGCTGCCAATAGAAAACCAAGATTTTAAAAATGTTTGTTTTAATTATTACTCAGGTCCACAAAAAAAATCAATAAAAGGTTCCTTCAACCAAACCTGGTGTACTATATGTTTTTGGGGTCGCTGAAAACGAATCTAAAGTCCGTTTTGCTCCATTACGTCAAAATATATATCTAGAGACCTACACTTTGTGCGAAGCGCATAATCGCATAATTTTCAAAAATTAAAAGAAAGTTTAAAGTTTTACGTATTACAGTCGAACCTGGATAAGTGGTCCCTTGATAAGTGGGAATCCTCTTTAAGTGGAACTTTCTTTGCAGTCCCTGCACAAGTAATTTGACCTTAAATGACCTGGATAAGTGGAATACCTCTATAAGTGGAACAAGAACTTTGGTCCCTTGAGGTTCCACTTATCCAGGTTCGACTGTATTACAGAACTTGGTATCTGTGAGTTTTTGGACTCTGCCGGATCACGGAATAACTCCGTTGCCCACCGCGCACCGTCACCACATGGAAGTGCCCTGGATACAGGCACAGAAAAGAATTCCTTGTCAGTGACCTTAAAAACACCAAGATACCAAGTTCTGTAAAAATTTAAGACATTTTTATAAATCCGACCGTCATATTGGATCCGCCATTTTAATTCAAAAATCTTATTTTAAATTCGTAATCAGCGACCCCAAATACCCCTTGATACCAAGGTGTGTAAAAATTCAAAATTTTTTTTAAAAATCCGACGTCATATTGAATCCGCTATTTTTTATTTTCAAAATCTGCCTTTAAATTCATAATCATCGACCCCAAAAACCCCTCGATACCAAGATTAAGGTAAATACATCAATATTTATAGTAATGTTAAATCGGACATTTGTTTTCAGGTTAGGAAAAAATTCTGACGTGATGGATCAAAACAAACATCAGATTCGTTTTCAGCGACCACAAAAATACGTAATACCCTAGGTTTGGTCAAAGGAACCTTTTATCAATTTTTTTGTGGACCTTTGTTATTAACCCCTAAACTGCGGTTACAATTTCAAAGAAAGTGACTAAAATGCGGAAAAAAAATTCTTCAGATTTTAATAATGCTTTTTATATATAGGGATTTTTCAGGTCGCTGATTATGAATATGATGTCACTTTTCAAAAATTAAAAATGGTAAATCCAATATGGCGGACGAATTTTTTAAAAATGACACCATTTTTTAAAGTTGTTACTCGGGGGTTTTCAGGGTTGCTGATTACAAATACGAAACCAAAACTAATGGATAAAGGCGTACGATTCATTTTTTTAAAATTTATATTATACTGCAGTTTATTTAAAAATTCAATTTACTTCAAATTCTCAATCAGCAACCCATAAAAACCCTCTAGTAGCAAGTATCAAGCAAAACTGTGTCTTTTAAAATATTTTGTATCATTTTTAAAACTTCGTCCGCCATATTGGATCTGCCATTTTGAATTTTTAAAAACTGAGATCTTATTCGTAATCAGCGACCTTAAAAACCTCAGAGTAACAAATATATTTCAAGCAATATGGTGTCTTTTTTACAAAAGTCGTCCTCCATATTTGATCCGCCATTTTTAATTTTAATAAACTAATACCAAATTCGTAATCAGCGACCCTGAAAATCCCCCCGTAACAGGTGTCAAGCAGATTTAATAACTTTTTATGTGTCAATCAATGAACGAAAATATCATTTTTATGACGAAGATTTCGAAAAATTTGTGAAAATTACCATTTTTAAAAGCTAAAACTTTTTTCTACAACAATATTTTTGAAAAAGGAAAACGACATCTTTTTTAGATTTCATTGAGTTTTCGAAAATAATTTTCTTTTTAGTTTACATGAATTAGTTACTTAGTTAAACTAATTTATATCATGACGAAGATTGGCGTTTTTGCCGCAGTCTGGAAAAAGTCCGAAATGACGAAGATTTTCGTCATCCACAGTCAAGGGGTTAATTAATTTTTAATTTTTATAAAGGCGTTTTTTAATTTATTTAATGTATTAAATTAATTTTTTACCTCTAGTAAGACAAAGGTGATTTAACAATAATTAAACAAAATGGATTTTAAAAATCTTAATTTTTTTATTGGTTGCTAATAAAAAATCAAGTTTTTGAAAATCCATTTTATTTTTTGGCAGACAATATTGACCCCAAACTTGGCAGTAGCGTAATCATTCTAAGCTAAAACCAATTGTTGTCCAATGTTGTTTCCCATTGGAGAAAGAGTTAATTAGTTTATTCAAAGATTTATAATATTTACATGTACCGTCATTTAAAAATCCAGTCATTGATTTTATTAAATTATATTGAATGTGCAGGAGCAGATAGAAGGGGTGGCTTTGGAGAGAATACAGGTGACACAGGGTTTGTTGAGGGTAAAAAAGGAAGACGAGCTACAAGATCCAGGAGTTCATGGAAATTCGACATCCGTGACAAACAATTTAGCATCACTGACCAAGAGGACGGAACCAAGTCCAGAGAGCGTGTTTCTTGGAAATCGAAGAGCGAGTCCACCTCCAGAAGATTGGAAGCCATTAGACAAGTGTTACTTCTGTCTCGATGGCAAGCTGCCACACGACGATCAAGCTCCCCTTGTGAGTTTTTACTTAAAAAAACCTATCTATATCGCCTGCAATTGCTTAAAGATCATTCGCTTTGAACTCCTTCTTAAAGATTCATGAAGGAAGAGTTTTCTTAACACATTATCCCGCTGCTGATAACTTTCTCCATTTTAACTCAATTTGAAACTTCTTTTCCCAGAATCACCAGCTAATCTAAAAACGAATTTAGTCAAAGACGACCCTACTTTTTCCATTTTGAAACCAAAAAAATACCAATAAAATTGATAATATCTTATTAACCTTTCATAAAGCCTGATCGCTGTATAAAAATAGTAAAAAGTATAAGGAAAGCACCTAAAGAAAAAATAATTTAAAGTCTTATTAAAAATGATTTCGATGTTAATGCACAAACAAATTGTTTTATCAAAGAGCGAAATTGATCTTGAAAGTTGATATTGTTTTAATCATTTAAGACTAGAATTTTTTCATCAAATAAGATTTTTCTTGGCAGTTACAAGTAATTCAGGATCTTAAGATGTTTAGAATGTTAAAATTAAATGATCATAAAATTTTTAATTTTTAACGTCAGGCAATATTTTGAAAAAGTATCAAATTTATTTGAAAACAAGAATAGTTTTATTCTTTTTTCGAGTTCTTATTTTAGCATTATTATTATTATTATTTGCTTAAGACTACTTGGAAATCTGCTTGCAGATACCTGAGATTACATACTTTATGGTTATGTTGTTATAACTCTGTGATTATATAAGAAGGAAAAAATAAAATGGCAATGAAATTTAGAATAGTTAACTATCTACAATCAGGCCCTGACTATTTAAACCCAAAATTCTTTGTTTGAAGCCTTTTCTCACCATCAGAATCGTCATAAGACGATTCAAGGGTAACATTGAATCTTTCTCCTAAATGCGACCTCATCCTTTTCCTGTGAACATTCTGCTTAAATACTTGAAGCTGAATTTACGAAACATCAAATTAATATAAAAGAAAAAGAATATACAATATAAAGTAAATGTAAGGAAATAAATAAGAAAAAAGACTGTTAAGATACTATAAGCAAGAATAAAATACAAATATATTCATAAAATTTAAAGCAAATTAGGGTAAGTGTGCCAATTGTAGCGGGTGCTCCAATTATGGCGACTTTGTGAGAAATATAATTATTTATTATTTTAGAATAACATAGTTATTTGAAAATGTTTGAAAAAGTTATTTTTGACTATAGCTCCGCGCTATAATTGGCACATTTCCATTGAATGCATGTGCTCCAGCTATAGTGCGCAACACAACCTCTAAATACACGTTATTTTCCCGCCATAACTGGCGCGCCGAAATTGACTCAATCGCGCAATTTGACGTTTTTGATCTTATATTTTATTGCTTCAATTTGTTTAAATAATTAATTTTTAGAAAGTTTTCATTAATGTTTTATTACCTAAATGACACGAACTTTTAGTTTAATAAGCCATAAATTTACTTCTTTCATTAAAATTGTCGAATTTTCTATTTCAAACGCGACACGATTTTATCGTGAAAGTCCCTGGTATAAACAAAAGCAAATAAAAAATAAAGGCGCAAAAAACTAATGGTCTCGCCTCAAGTCTACATGTGAAGAAAAAAACACAATAACTCTTAACATACTTAAAGAATCGCAAAATAAACCACACCATCGCATTCAGAAGGATCAAAAAATAAAGGAGTGGAACAATCTATAATTATTCTCTCTCGAAAGGAAGCTGTAATGATAAGGTGAATATTGTCGCCTAATATGTCGCAAAATAATTCCATCTCATCCGAACCGAAGACAAACTTTTAAAGTGAATGCACTACACAGGATTTAAAATTACATTCTACTGAAACTGAGAATTTTTTCTCCATGACAGTTAAACATTTCGTCAAAAATGAAGTGTAGATACCTAATTAAAGGATAATTAAATTGTGCAATAAATATTCCTGAAACTACATCATATTTAATAATTTTGTGAATACATATTTATTATTATTATTCTAAATTATATTTATTTAAATAATATATTATTAATAAAATAATAAATGTTAACAATTTTGTTACTGATTAATAAAAAAATATCAATTATCGTTGTTTATTAATTTATCCATTAAATATTTTTAATTGTAAAATGTTTTAAAAGTAAGTTGAATTATAGTAACAAAATTAAAAAAAAATTCTTTTAATTATATTACTGAAAGTAATATTTAAAAAAATTCTGTAATGATTATAATTATATTATGAATTATTTATTTGAATATTCATTTTTAATAATTAAAATAATTCAGGATTATTATGTGAAAAATTTTTAGTCGTAGTTTTCACTTTGTCCTTATAAGTAACAGAATATACAGCACTGATATTGATATAGTAGATTAGGAGAGTTCTCATCTAGCCTTCAAGCAGAGTCTACAATAGAAGATGTGAACTTCGACGTGCACACTGATGTTCATAGCTACAGGTATTCTACTCTCTCTCAATTTGAATTAGCGAAATTTCACTAATTCCCAGCAATATGCATACCACTAATTTCAAAAAGCGTATACTACTAATTATACTAATTTATTTAGTGAAATTTCACTAATTCACAACGTATATTCGCTAATTGGAATTAGTGGTATACTTATCGCTATTTCAGATTAAGAGAGCAGTATGCTTTAGTATAGCTATAGCTATAAACATCGGTGGTACCCTTTCTCATTCTAGACTCAGCTTCAGTGGTCGTGCGTCGGGTATGAGTATGGAGCGAAGAGGGCGTGAGTTCGATCCCACATTCGAGCGGATATTTTCCATTCTAAGCGTTATATAAAATAATAAAATAACTATTTAATCTGTATAAGTGTTATGAATAAAAATTGTAAACATGTTTGTAAATAATGTAAAGGTCTGTTAAAAAATCAATTTAAAAAATGTACCAATTAACGCAAATTGTCTTTTTTACTAAAATTATTTTTTAATATTACTATTTTAAATGACCTTTATTGTTAGTGCAATATATTATTTATGTGAAAATAATATAATTATTATAATAATAACTTATTGTCATTAAATATATATACACATTTATATATGAATAAAAATAATTAAATAATAATACACTACTGGCGGAAATTGTGCGACCGCTAACATCTCCCCAATGGGAAATTTACAACTGGCGTAGTACTGCGCCAGCACTGGCAGCACTGGCGGCAAGGCTGAGAGCCAGCACTGGCATGGCACTGGGATGATAACGCCGTCTGGCGCTGCCGAAGTACTGTCTGTCAGTGCTGCCAGACAGCGCTGGCGCAGCACTGGACCAGTGCTGGCTGAGAATATTGCCGCAATCAATGCCGTATTGTTATTAATTAGTCGTAAATTCATAATTATAAATAATTTAACAACAAAATGGTAAATAATATTAATAAATACTTATTATTCATAAAATATTTCTCTTCTTAAAGAAATTGTATTAAAGATGGAGACTAACAATGGATATAGTAAATGAAGTAGAAAAAAATTGTTTATAACATTTAAAAATTAAATATTAAACAATTACAGTAAGTGTGCATTAGATTTTCATATTTTAGTACCTAACGATTGGAATCTAGAAATATCGCAAACCTATGAAAATAAACAAAATTGCTGACGAGGGGAATCGAACCTACGACCTACGGACTAACAGACTAACGCTCTAACCACTATGCTAACGACACATGTGTACAGTAAAGTATTAATATCTCAGTATCATTCAGACATACAATTATTGAGTCAAAGATGAGAAAAAAATAGGGATACGTTAGAAATAATAAATTGAAATAAAATAAATTAATCTGAATTTTTAATAATTAAATTAAATTTTTTTATACTTATTGCATTTAACATTTTACGTCATTCTTAAATTACGTGGTAATTTTTAAATAATTTTTTATTCATAGTTAGAAGTATAATAGTATTTTAATAGGAACCAAATTATTATTGAGATTAAAGTTTAAATTTTGTTTATAATTTTAATTTGTTTAAATAATTTATTATTTACAAAAGTAGACAATTATGTTAAATTATTATTATTAAATTTAATAAGAATAAAAAATGAACAACTGAAAAGTAAAATATTAATTTTTTTCAATAAATTTATATTTATAAACATTCATAAACTTTTTTTATAATTTTTTTCAAGTTTATGTCAAAAAAGCAATGTTGGCAAAGAGCGTCGTGAACAATTTTTCTATACTCAGCCAGCACTTGCCGCCGTGGCTTGTCCAAGCTTTGGCGAAACAAAAATTCTGTACTGCGCCAGCACTAATTTTCGAGGCTCGGCTAGATTACGCCGAACAATCGTCTGAGTACTAAGCCAGTGGTGAACATCGGCACTACACTGGCATTTCCCATTGGGTCGAGCTATTAAAAAACACACTCGCACAGAAACAGTGATAACTTTTCAAGCTTTTCAGGGGGTCGATTCTGAAACTTTTCCACTTCCCAAATTTACATTCCACTTACCACATTCACATTCCACCGTCCACTTTTCATTCCCAGTGAGAGTATAAAGTGGAAAGTGAGAGTGGGAGTGTGAAGTGGAAAAGTTATAGAATCGACCCCCTGCTTCTTCCATGTTCGTGACTACAACAGCGAGTTTCAGACCACACTTATTGGGTCCTAGGACTGTCACTCTTCTGCTAGCTAATTGTGTTCTTAAAATTTTCATCAAAGCTTCCTGGACCTCGACTTTGTCAGTAAGGCAATTCAGGTCACGGATCTCCAGTGTGACTTTTCGATCTGCCATCTGCACCTTACCAAGCTCTCCTACTATCCTTGTCACCTCCTCGGTAAACTTCTCCTTACCTTGTGATCCTTCTATTTTGATAACAAGGTCCCCTTTCTTCGTAGGTCTTGCTCCTACTACTCTTGTGTGCCTGGCATCAGGTTCAGACTCTCTTTTAATCTTTCCCAAGACATCAGCAAAACTAATTCCTTGACAATCATTGTTAATTCTCGTGGTAGCGTTGGTGATTTTCTTCCTTGGTTTGTA